CTTGAGCCACATCCCCAGCCCCCCACTCTCTCTTTAAAAAAAAAAAAATAAAGATGTTGGCTCTTGGGTTCTTTGAATTTCCATATGAAAATCAGAATTGAATTTTCAAATTCTGCAAATAAGCTAGATGGGATTTTGATAGAGATTACATTGAATCTTCAGGTCAAATGAGTTTTATCGTCTTTTTTTGGAGTGTGGGTGCGGGGGATTGAACCCAGGGGCACTCAACCACTGAGCCACATTCCCAGCCCTATTTTGTATTTTTTACTCTCTATGTTTTGAGGTAGGGTCTCACAAAGTTGCTGAGGTTGGCTTGGAGCTTGAGATCCTGCTGCTTCAGTGTCCTGAGTTGCTGGAATCACAGGTGTGCGCCATCGCACCCAACAGAATTGTTTTCTTAATCATCACTTTGGGGCTGTTAATTACTAGTGTGTAGAATTCCAACTGATTATTCTATATGGATCCTGTTTCCTATAACCTTGCTGAACTTATTTATCAGTTCCAATAGTTTTTAAAATGGGTTCCATAGGATTTTTTTTTACATACAAAATCATCTCATCTTCCAATAGAAATAGTTTTAGTTTTTCTTTTACCTTGTTGCCGTGAATGAAATCTCCAGCACAATGTTGAATATGTGACAAAATCAGGCAAGGCAAAGCACCTGGCCTTATTTCTGTTCTTAAGTTTTCAGTTTTTCACCAGTAACTATGTTGCCTGTGGATTTTTTTTTTTTTTTTTTGGTACCAGGGATTGAACTCAGAGGCACTCAGCCACTGAGCAACACCCCCAGCCCTATTTTGTATTGTATTTAGAGACAGGGTCTCACTGAGTTGCTTAGTACCTTACTGTTGCTGAGGCTGGCTTTGAACTTACAATCCTCCTGCCTCAGCCTCCCGAGATGCTGGGATTAGAGGCATGGGGCACCACTTGCCTGGCTTGCTTTTGTTGCTGTTGTTGATGTGCTTTATCAGATTAGGGAAATTCCCTCCTATTTGTATTTTGCCGAGTGTTTTTATCATAAAAGGGTGTTAGATTTTGTTAAATGTTTGTTCTGGATCTATTAAGATGATCACGCGGTTCTCCCTTTATTCTATGAATATGATGCACTATATTAATCAATTTTTAGGCAAGCCAAACTTGTACTACTGGGATATATTTCTCTTAGTTTTGGTATACAATCTTTTTTATATATTGTTGGTTTTGATTCCCCAGTAGTTTGTACAGGATATTTTTTTCATCTATATTCATAGGAGAATTTTTTTTTTTTAATTCTAGGGACAAACCCAGGGCCTTGTTATTATAAGCATTCTACTATTGAGCCACATCTCCAGCCTGCAGGAGAAAATTTTCCTGTGATTTCTTTTTTTGTTGTTGTTGTTGTTTTGTTGTTTTTGTTTGGTTTTGGTACCAGGAATTGAACCTGGGGCACTTAACCACTGAACCACATCCCCAGCCCTTTTTAATATTTTATTTATAATTTATTTAGAGACAGGGTCTCACTGAGTTACTTAGGGTCTCACTAAATTGCTGAGGCTGCCTTTCAACTCACAATCCTCCTGCCTCAGCCTCCTGAGCCTCTGGGATTACAGGCATGTGCCACTGTACCCAGCTGTCTTGTGATTTTTTTTTTTTAAGAGAGAGAGAGAGAATTTTAATATTTATTTTTTCTTTTTCTTTTCTTAAAGAGAGAGTGAGAGAGGAGAGAGAGAGAGTGAGAGAAAGAGAGAGAATTTTTAATATTCATTTTTCAGTTCTCGGCGGACACAACATCTTTATTGGTATGTGGTGCTGAGGATCGAACCCTGACTGCACGCATGCCAGGCGAGCACGCTACCGCTTGAGCCACATCCCCAGCCCCTGTCTTGTGATGTTTTGGGCTTTGGTATGAGGATAATATTGACTTCATCAAATGAGTTTGGGCAGTTTTCCCTTTCCATTTTTGGAAGAGTTTGTAAAGAATTGGCATTAATTTTTCTTTAAGTTTTTGGCAGAATTCATCAGTAAAACCATCTGGATCTGGGTTTTTTTAAAGTGGCAAATTTTAAAATGACTACACCCTTATCCATGGTTTTGCTTTCCATAACATCAACTATCCATGGTTGACTGCAGACTCACTAATCTTTACTCTTTCAAGGAGGATACTACATTCACACATTTTTATTAATATATAATTATAATTGTTCATTTAATTATTAGTTATTGGGGCTGGGGATGTGGCTCAAGCAGTAGCGCGCTCACCTGGCATGCGTGCGGCCCACGTTCCATCCTCAGCACAAACAAAGATGTTGTGTCTGCCGAAAACTAAAAAAAATAAATAAATATTTAAAAAATTCTCTCTCTCTTTAAAAAAGATAATTATTAGTTATTGTTACCAATCTCCTACTATGACTAATTGATCAGTAAAGCTTTATCATAGGTATGTATGTATAAAAGAAACATATTTTAAAAATAGAACCAGAAAAATTGGCAGATGCTTGAATCTCAGCGGCTCAGGAGGCTGAGGCAGGAAGATCACAAACTTGAGGCTAGCCTCAGCAACTAAGCAAGTTGTCTCAAAAGTAAAAAAAAAAAAGAAAAAAGACCCTTGGATTTAGTCCACAGCACCAAAAGAAAAAGAAATGGCTTCAAAGTCATGATTGAATCTAGGATGCAGCTGTAAAAAAAAAAAAAATTTGTCAATAACTCATTATAATTTAAGATGAAGCTTCACAGACCCTCCCATCTGAGAAAAGAGAGTCTAATAACCTTAAGGTCATTGTTCCATGGTTGTTGCAAGGCCTGACCTTGGACCCTCATGGAGGAATGCTTATCTTGTTCACTGTGCATCAGGAAGTCCTAACATAGAATGCTATGTTTGGGGACAGAGTGCTGTCAGAACACTAACAAGTCCCATTTCCTTGCTCCTTTGACAAGGAGTTATTCCCCTGTTGGTGCAAAATCAGCCTTCATGACAGTTTCAGAACTCTTGGTGTCTGGACTTCTGTAAGATGATATGTTGTATATCACCTCTAGTCTATCGTGACTGTTATATGCAAATTGGCACATACCCACTATAAAAGCTATTTTTGCTGCCCCGTAAAGCAGATGCTGTTTTCTGAAACAGTCTCTGGAGGGGTTTCTCCACGTTTTCAAGCTCCTCACAGTCAATGCTGGAAGGGAAGGCCCCTTAGCACATGCTCAAATAGAGAGAGGTTTATTTTGGAAAAAATAATGCATGTGAATTTTGGGGAATGACACGAACCCCAATTAGATTCATAGGAAACCTATAGATTTTTAAAGGGAATTATGTTGGTGAAAGCACTTCCTGCTTGGACTAAAAATGATAGACATAGGTTAAACTCAATAAGGACCTCTGAGCCTTTTTTATGCAACTTTTTATGGACACGAATAAGAAATGAATCTGCTCTTTGGCAAATACAGGTCATTTTCTTTAGAAAAGGAAGAGGTTTTTTTAGAGGAAGCATCCAAAATCCACTGAGAATAACAGTCTAAAGGAAACCACTCTCAAAGAACAGATCTGGATCAGTTGCTGCTATGTATGCCTGTATTCCCAGCAACTCAGGAGGCTGAGGAAGGAGAATCCCAAGTTCAAAGCCAGCCTCAGAAATTTAGTGAAGTCCTAAGCAACTTAGTGAGACCCCATCTCAAAATTTAAAATAAGTGCTGGGAGCGGTGGCACACACCTGTAATTCCAGCGGCTTGGGAGGCTGAGACAGGAGAATAGAGAATTCAAAGCCAGCCTCAGCAACTTTGAGACACTAAGCAACTCAGAGAGACCCTGTCTCTAAATAAAATACAAAATAGGGCTGGGGATGTGGCTTAGTGGTCGAGTGCCCCTGAGTTCAATTCCTGGTACAAATAATAATAATAATAATAATAGTAAATAAATAAGTGATGGGAATGTGGCTTAGTGGTTAAGCAGTGCTAGGTTCAATCTGCAGTACCAAAAAAACAAAAACCAGACAGATCTGGATCCTAATCAAGGAATATTCCCTTATCCAGGAATAGAAGATCCTCAGAACTACTATTACTATTTACTTCCTGTTCTTTTTTCCTCTCTTGCTCTCTCCTTATTCGTATGTCTTTATGTTTTTCTGTTTCTGTCTGTCTTTCTTTTTTGTACTGGGGACTGCCCATAAGGAGCAGATGAATAATCTGCTTCCCATTACCGGAAGAGGAAATAGGGCAACAAAACAGAAAAATGCATTATGAACTTCACATTCATCGTAAAAATGCAAATTAAAAGCACAATTAAATGCTAGTTTATCTACATCAGATTAATACAAATTAAAAGTCAACAACAGAGGATGTAGCTCAGTAATAAAGCACATGCTTAGCATGCACAAGGACCTGGGTTCTATCCCCAGCACCAAAACCAAATGACAGTATCCTGTTTACAGGATATTATATTGGTAGTATATATTACTGTGTACATGTATATATGTATACATATATATTTGTTTGTAGTAAATATAAAGAAAGCAAATGAATGATAATTAAAAACTCAGTACAATGTAACCTTGGAGAATTAGGAGGGAGAGAATGGATTCAGGGAAGGACTTACAAGGGCTTTAAAGATATTCTTAACATTTTTTTTCTTTTTTAGTACTGGAAATTAAACCCAGGGGTGCTTTACCATTGAGCTCCCCAGCCATTTTTGTTTTTATTTTGACACCGGATCTTACTCAGTTGCTGAGGGTCTCACAAATTTGTTGAGACTTGCCTTGAACTTATGGTCTTCCTGCCTCAGCCTCCCAAGTTGCTGGCATTACAGGCATGTGCCACCATACCTAGCTTAAGGTTCTATTTTTTAAACTGTATGTTGGGTGCATAAAAGCTTATTTCATTAGTTTTTTAAACTTTATGAATGCATTCATACATATATCTGCTTCATATTTATAAAATTAAAAATTTCATAATAAAATTTTTTATTGCAACTGTCCTAGAACAGTGTATGAGAACCAACCCAAAGGTACTCTGAGACTAAGGAAGAGAGGTAGTCAGAACCAGCCTTGCACAAATTTATTGGGGACCTTTGGAAGTATAGTCCTGGGCAGCAGCAAGATCAAGTAGATCCTCACAATTTGAGTAAGGAGGGGCGTATAAATTGGGTAAGGACAAAGTGTCTTCATCAAACCCATAATTGTACCTGGTTTATCTAAGGTAACATCAAGGAGACAGGCACATTCCTGATGCCAGGGTACAGTTGTATAGCTCCACATACCACAGTAATGCTTTTGTCTATTCATATTTGCTGGAAAACTGTGCAGAAAAAAAACTAACTGGGATTTTTCCAGGGGACATCATGGTGCTTATGACTCAAGATGGCTGCAGTCATGTCAGGATGAATCCATACAGAAACAAAGAGGACTGCTGACATATGAAGCAGTTATGAGAAATGAAAATGCATTTTATCTGTACTCCATGAGAGGGATGGTGTAGTTGGAACTGTTGTCTCAGCATCACCAAATACACACTCCTTTAACTCTCTGAAATCCCCTTGCTGTTTATTAGCAAGAAGACCTATTGGTGCTCTTGGTGGTGGCATCTGGCACTGTTGGTTGTCCTGGGTCAACAGAAATTCTGGAGAAAAAAACAGATGTGGTCCATGAGATGAAGTAAAAGAAACCATTATTTCTTCTCCTCTCTCACTCTCTCTTTAAAAAAGAAAGAAAGAAAGAAAGAAACCATTATTTCTTATTTTAAAAATCTCCCTTAGACTTAATTTTTACATCTATAAAATGAGCATTATTGCTATCATATGGGTTGTTGTGAGAACCTAATGACATTGTCTAGACTCAGATGATGAGAAATGGAATTCTTCTGCACTTGTCAAATTATATCAGAACTCCAGCACCACCTAGTGGGAATCTAATATGACATGGCTGTGCCAGAAAGCCCTCTGTTCCTCTACAAGTTGTAACACTTGCCAGATAAAGTCCCAAGAAGGTCATTGCAGATTATGAGAGATCTCAGAAATACATCCACCAGATGCACAGTGTGCACTTCAGGTGAATCCTGATTTGAACCAAATGACTACAGAACAATTTCTTGAGAAAATCAGAAAAATGTGAATAAGGACTGGGTATTAGAGGCCAAGGTATGATAATGGTATTGTGCATGTGCAATAATCTATCTTGACATGACTAGAGCCAACTTGGTTGTATTCAAAATTTTGCCCACCAGATGATGGTGGCATGCATTCCAAATCCACCAGATAAGCAAAGCCGTTAACATAGTCAAACATGTTGTGACAACCACTGACACCAGACTGTTTCCTTCTTTCTTTTTTTCTTCTTCTTTTTATTTTTATTTTTTACTTTCATTGGTGCTGGGGATTGAACCCAGGGATTCACACATGCTAATCACACTTTTCTCACTGAGCTACATCCCCAGCTCCCAGAACTGATAAACTGACATTTGACATATTAGTAGTTTTTGAAAAAGCCCTGGTACAGTCTAGTTGGCATAGCCCACCTTTGCCTAGCTTAGCATATAAGCCTCTTCTGCTTCCAGGTGCAGGAATCGTCCTGTCTTGCTGATACACTTCTATGCATAATTTCCCAATAAATTGCATTTTGTTATATCCTCTTTCTTTTCCTTCAGAACATTCCATTTTTGACAGGCAGTTCTCATATACCAGGTTTCCCCCAATAATGCTTGGATTTTAAATAATTATTATTTGCAGATAGAGCCTAAAAGATTTATAAATAAAATATAATAATGTCCAGAATTTGCTTTAAAATAATTCAGTGGTGGGAGTGGAAGAGAAGGATAAAGAAGAGTAGTCATGGGCTGGGGTAGTGGCTCAGTGGTAGAGCACTTGCCTAGCCAACATGAAGCACTGAGTTCAATCCCCCACACCACATAAAAATAAATAAATAAATAAAGGTATCGTGTTCATCTCCAACTAAATTTTTTTAAATAAAATTAAAAAGAAAAGAAAGGCATTCTGTCCATCTGCAACTACAAAAAATAAAAGAAAACGACGATGACAACGACGAAGTGATCATGAGATACTCACTGTGGCTGTCCAGTAGTCCCTTGTTATCTTTGTTCTACTTTTATGTGTGTGTGTGAAATTTTCCATGGAAAGAGGAAGGGAGGGAAACAGGAAGGAAGGAAAGACCCCTTAATACTTCCTCTCCTGCAAGGAAGAGCTCCAGTGTCTCTCACACCACTGCTGCCCAGCTCGTCCATACAGAAGATAGTATCACCAGCTCCCAAGACTCCCGGAAGGCCATGGCTCCACACACAATGTCAACTTCACCAGTCCTTCTGGGAACAGACACACCCGAAGGACTGCTGCCAGATGAGGAATGTGGGGTTGGCGCAGGCTCCGGTATCTGTTCCTCGTAGCTTCAATAATACTTGTCTTCTCAGTCCCAAGAAATCCAACACTTACTTTCCTTTTTCAATCTCCCTTCAAATCAGAGCAGTTTCTGTTGAAATCTATTTATTTTTTTCAGTCCACCTCTTCTGGCACAGTCAGACAACCCTCAGAAGAAGCCTGTATCTAAGGGCAATAGAGCCCAGCCAAGCTCACCCATCGCCCAGGCCTCCCCTCCTTTTGGAAGGTGGAAAGAGATTGGGTGGGTCATTCTGGGTCACTCCTGCTCCTCTCCCAAGCTATACCCACTTCAACCCAATATGGACAAGGAGATTTCATGCTACAGAAATGCCCAAGAGTCCTCAGACTACAAAACAGGAAAAAGCTCAATGAGATGCCAAGTTGTAAGGGGAGCTGTTTCTCCAGATCCAGAGCTCCTTGCTCATCCACCGGCTTTTACTGCCCCCTGGTGGTCATTTGCTTCTCATAGCAGTTCCTGAAACTGATTTCCCACCAACCCCACCACATCACAAATAAAAAAGTAAGTTAGTCACCTTCAAACCTTGCCCTAGGACACTATGTTAGTCTTTATTGAAAGGCATATATTTAGCTCTGTGGTGAAAAACTTCCTCCTAAAACATGTTATGTATGGGTACGTTCCAGCCAATTTCTTTAAAAAAAAAAAGTTCAAAAATTTTCAAAGTAAAAAGCTAGGGATGGGAGGTGTATCTCAGTTTTGGTGAGGTTGTAGTCTCTCAAGCTAGAGAGCTACTGGAGGTGTAGCTAAGCATGCATGAGGCCCTGGTTTTGATTCCCAGCATTAGAGCAAAAACAAATCAAAACGAAAAACCCAAAACATTAGGGAGAGGAGGGGACTCTGGGAAGATGGTGGAGTAGGAAATAAAGAATTAGTCTCTTAACCTAAACAACAATTGCACTAGCAGACTCTGTCTGATGTAACTATTTTGGATCTCTGGAGTCTGTTAAAGGCTTCCAACTCCTAGGAGTGGTCTTGGATGGTATTATGTTTAATTTTGGTCAATTTCAGCTCTTAGAGCAGCTGCCCACCTCCCACTGGTCAACCCTATGGAGACAGCCATGTGTGTGTTCCTGGAGTACCAACCTGTGCGAGCAAAGGTGGGCAAAAAGGACCCTGCCCTCCACATATTAGGGATCTATGGTCTGATTGCTGCTTCTGATCACAGAGGTAAAAAGAGGTGGTAGCCCCTGCTCTTCTACCTTCCCCCATTACTGCAGGTTCCCTACCCTCAGGTAGCACTGACTTATCAGGGACTTAAGAGATCAGGGTCTTTT